AGGTTGCGCCTGAAGGCTGCACCCTCTCCGCGACGCTAACTGCTAGCCTCCTCAGCGCAGTTTTCGAAGCGCAGCTTGCTCCAAAATAAAAAACACATTACAGAAACCAAATGATAATTCAATAATTGCTTAATTTTCGGCGTTTTGCTGATTTTTTGGCGCCTCGGTAGGCATATTGTGTTACCACTTCTGTTTCTGTGGTTCCTGACACTTTCTTCCAATATCGCTCTTTTTCCTATATATTCCGTGAGTTGGGGCCTCGTCGTGGTCCACGACTGAACATTCAGTCCATGAACATGATAGGCTAGAGGGGTTGGGACGGCCATACAGGTTGTCCCCGAAGGCTTCATCTTTCATTTGACCAGAATTGGAGTAAAATGTTGCGCGCTCTTGATCTTGATTGTGCGACTGCTATTTGCCGGTGCATGTGCGGCCGGGGCGGCGGGGCTCGACGCGTTGCGCCCCGCGCCTTTGTTGCTCGGTCTGGCTAGCGGGGCTGAGCCCTGGCCGCCCTGCCTGCCGCCTGCCGCCCAGCCTGCCGCCGTTCGTCGTTTCCCTGGCTTCTCGCGGAGCAGCGCCGAGCGACGGGTTGCCTATCCGTCCCGCCCCACTTCCATTCAGCGGAGTGTCCTCAGCCTCCTCAGCGCAGCTAGCGCAGCGGCATGCAATCCAGAAAACAGTGGCGCACAAAATTTGCTTTCAAGGAGGACCTGTGTCGCACTTTATTTTTCCATTTTGAATGGCTCGCTGCCTAGTTCCGACACGTGGGTAGCTTCACGTCGCTGTGTGCGTACGTAGTGTGTAGGGGCCTTGCATAAAAGTTGAGCTTGGAATTCCCTGCGCTTTCCAGCACCGTGGTGGTTCGCGGGTGCTGCATGGTGATCCAGCTACCACCATGGGCCAGAGTGCAAATGAGTTCGAATTTGTGGTGACGATGTTGACTCCAGGGGGTGCTCCCTGGCTGGAATGTCGCACTAGCAGACCAGCGCAGACTCGGCCTGTCCCGCCACGTGTAGTTCCGTAAAAACACCACCGTCGCCGGCCGAACAGAGCAGCACTGTCGATGCCCTTGGTTGCCTGCGGAGAGGGGGTGGGGTGGGGGCCGAAGGAGGACCGTGCGTTGCGTTGAGGTTCGGGACGACGACGCAAACGAGACGCAGCGCGGGAAGGGACGGGATGGTGCGGGCGTCGACGGGCGGGCCAAGGCGGGCCCCGCGGACGGGCGGGCGGGGAAGGCGAGGCGGCCGGCAGCTGTTCCAGACGGCCCGGCCCGGCCACCAACGGGGACCGTCGGGCACAGGACCGCGTCCGAGTCCCGTCAGACAAGTCCCCCCGACGAAGTCCCGCCTCGTCGGCCTGCAGCACGGCCTCGGTGATCAGGCCCAGGCTCCGGAGGGCTCTCCCTTCTTTTGAACGGCCGGACGACGGCCTGACGGGGCGCGGCGACGGCGGCGGCTCTTGGGTCTTTTTGCCGGCAGATGGGAGGTGGCCGGCGGGACAGACTCGCGGCTCGAACGCCGCGCCGGTCGCGCGGTACCAACACAACAGATACCAACGGGACGCTTTGCCGCCAGTTTCAAACCTGGCGCGCCTTGATGCGACATCCTATTTATCGCTTCATGTGTTTTACCTTCCACGGCAAGCAAAGGGGAAAGAAGGAAAGCGGCTCGTTGATTATTTTTATTTTCCTTTTGTTCACACACGGCGTTCAAATACCACTCACGCTTCATGCAGATACCTTGCTTTGTCGCACTCCTAGGAGACCAGCATGTCTCCCTCTTCTCTCTCTTTCTCTCAGCCGGTATTTTTCTATATTTCTCCTTCCGTGGTTCTCTTTCTTTTTTATTCATTTCCTCCGTCCCCTCTTTCCCTCATTTTCTTCGCATGATGGCCCCCTCCATCACCACCGCTGCGACGTCGTCCCTTCTTTTCTGTTGGTTGGAGTCGGTCTCATTCGCTCGCCCTCTCTCTCGCTCCGCCAGCGCGCCCAGCCCGGCCCAGCCCGGCCGCGTACGGCCGCGTCGCTCCGTCTCTCTCCTCTTTTATTTTCCGCTCGTCGCCTTCCCACCCTTATTCTCGGCGCCTCCGCTTTGCCCTCCTCTTCGTTTTATCCTCTCTGTTCTTCGCTCCGTCTCTCTCGCAACCTCGCAATATTCATATCGGTATATCTCTCTCAAATTCTATCATTTTGTGTCCCTTCCTCTCCGCTTCGCCGCCGCCCTCCCTGCGCCGCGCCGCTCTACCCTCCCTGGCGGCCACCCGGCCGTCTGTCGGCCCGCAGGTCTGTCTGCCTGCTCTCCGGCCCCCCTCCCATCCGCACGCCACTCCGCCCGACCCCGCCCGCCCCCTGCCCTGCCTCTGCCAGCCCCTCTGTGTACGAACTGCCGCGCTGCTCGCCTCGACTTTATCCCAACCGCTAGCTGTGCTGGTCCGCATGCGACGCCGACGGACGTCACGATAATTTCGTCACAGCCCAAGGCTCTCCGGTCATGGGGACCGAACATAGCCGAACTTGTACGAATTCTAGCGACTTATGCGACAAGTCCTGGACTCTTTTTGTCAAGTACCGACTGTTTCTCATCGATCCTCGCCAGAAACCATTTTTGGCGCATTTTCTCATTACTTGATCATTTTCGCGAATTTTGGTCCATTTCCGGAAAAGGTCCGAAAATGGGTTTGGGAGACTTTGAGACTCTTTTGGACCATTTTGGTCCTTTTCCAGGGCCTCTGCGGCGCGCTCGTCGGCGAGGTTCGCGCGGTTCACGTCCACGCCGTGTGGCGTGGCGACTGCCCGGGCCGGCCGCGCGTAGCGGCGTAGCGGCGGAGCGCAGCACGGCGCGGACATACTCCACAAGTCGGTGCATTCTAGCAAATACCGGAGACTTGACGTGGTTAGCTCCCCTCCCCGTGCCGCTCAGCGCCCCGCCGCACAGCGCCGCCGCCCGCCGCCCTCCACCCCGCGGCCTGCCTGCCTGCCCGGCCGCCACTCTGCGCGCTCCCGCCGCGCTGCTACGCTGTGCCCAGGCCAGGCCGTGCCGGCCGTGCCTCGAGCCGCAATACCCCTTGCCTCTCTCTCTTTGTGACGACTCCCTTCCCCGCGCTCTCCTTCCCTCCCCTCCCCTCCTCTCCTCCACTGCCTTCGACTTCGACCTGCTTGCCGGGTGCTCTAGGAGGCCCTGCCACGGCCTCTGCATGGCGCGCGATTTCAAAGTGTCACACGTGTTGTCACCGGCACAGCGTCGCGGCCAGCAGCCCCAGCCAGTCTGCCGGCGAGAGGCGCCAGAACGCCGGAAAGGCGCGGAGCGGAATCAAGAGCGGCCCACTCTCCTTTTGCCCTTTTCTCGCAAAGCCCATGAATGCCCCTAGGTTCGACAAATTTTGTATATTTTGAGCTCCCGCTCGTTTTGACTGTGTGGGGAATTTCGACGAGGAGTGGCATTCCCGGCAAATTCCCGCCTTGTTGCGATGTTTTCTTTGTCAAATGTTCGACGCGGTGGAGTGTGTGTTCTCGTGACGGCCCCGGGGAGCGTGCTCGGCTGCTGCCGCGGCGCGACAACCTCGCCTCGCGCTCCACGCGCTCCACGCGGACATAACGCAGGGAAGACCCAGCAGCCCGTACGTCTCGGGCCGGCTGGGCTGCTGGGCCGGCATGCATGTGCGCCGTGCGCCGAGCTGTGCGCCCTACCAGCTTTGGCAGGTGACTGACAGCGCAGCGCGCCCAGCCAACGGCGGGCCCTGTATACGCGGTACCGCCGTGCCGGCCCAGCGGCGGAGCGTCGCGGAGCCGCGGCATGGCGAGAGCCGCGAGAGCCGCGAGAGCGAAACACCCATCGGGTCGAGAACCGAGCGGTGCGGCCTGCGGGGCTCGTACACCTTGGCGGGGCTGCGACCGTTCTGCGACCGGTGTGGCCTGCCCAACCTCGGGTTTCTCGTGACTGGGGTTGGTGGCCGGTCGGTGTTGTCGCTATCTGAGGTGTGCCGTGGGTATGCGTTGTGCACGTGATGGGTACGCCACAGGGATGTGTATGCTTTGGGGTGTGAGATCGGCAGGGTGGACTGGGGTATGCCCCTGGGTTTTCTCTTGATGCGACCCCCGCGCCGTGCCTGGCTTTGCCTCGGCTTTGCTTGCCGCCCCGCGAGCGTCGCGTACTGGTCCAGGCTGACCGGCTGACCAGCCGCAAGTGCCGCGCTGTCCGCGGGAAGCACGGGCCGCAGGGCGGCATGGCGCTGGGCGCGCTGGGCATCCCCCCGCAGAGTTCCCTGCAGGGCTGCCAACGATTGTTGCCGAGTCATACGCAGCTCCGCGGCCGGGTCCGGTTCAGCCGGAGCCAGGCGGGCCAGGCAGCGCAGGGCCCTAGCGGCCCGCGGGTCTAACTCTCCCCCCGCGAGGCTCCCCGGCCACCGCGGCACCCACCGCGGCAGCCACCGCGGCACGGGGCACGGCCTGCTGGAAAACGCCTGCAACCATCCAGAGGGCCGAGAGAACGCTGTGTTTGCGCGCAGAAGGCTGCGAACTAGCGGAGCCAGGCGGGGCCGAGACGGCGGGGCCGGCAGGGCTGGCAACCCAACCCCCTCGCTACACCATCATGTTATGTCAAAGTGGTTGCTGCGGCGGTCGGGCGACTAGGGGCGGCGCTGCCGCCGCTGCCACCGCTGCCCCCGCGACGCCGGTGCCGTCGGCGCGGTGGTGGGCGTCGCGACGCAGCGCGCCGTAGCGGGGCCGGTGGTGTTGCAGCGGTGGCCGGTGGCTTGGGCGCTGGCGGCCTGGCGGCTGGCGCCCATGGGCGGCCCCAGACGAGCCGAGTCGGCGCAGCCGAGCGCAGCCGAGCTGAGCCGAGCCGCGCCGAGCCGAGCGGAGCAGCGCTGCCGGGGCCGCACGGTGCCGGGCTGAGCCGAGCCGAACCCGCCGAGCCGAGCGAGCCGAGCCGGGGGCACCGGAGGTTGGCCGAGCCGAGCCGTGCGCGGTTGAAGTAAACTGGGAGCGCAGGGGAGCCGAAGCCGGCCCGAGCTCGACCCGAACGCCGGCCGAAGTGGCACAGGGAAATTCCAGCGAAGGAAGGAAGGCTGCCGGGCGGGCGGGCTTCGCAGGCAGAGCGCTGAGCGCGCCATGGCGAACAGTGAAGTTAGTGCATGGCATGAGAGAACACGTCCCTGCGTACCGTCGGTGAGGAGGCAGCGCTGAGATGGTCTACCCGGCAGTTCTTCGCAACTATTCTGAATGCTGAATACAGCCGAAATGTGGTGTGATGTTCAGGTAAGCATGCCAGGAAAAGTGAGACACAAATTGTGTGCGTTTTTCACGGGTGTGGAAGGCTGTTTCGTGATATTATTGTGAGTTTCGAGGTGCTGTCATCCGTCTCGGAGGCATTGGATATTTCAAGTTTCTTGTGACAAGAAGCAATCAGTGGAAGTGCAGTGACTTGAAGACAGTGCGTCAGTGCAAAAGTGGACAGTGGCCGCATCCGTTTGGTCGCGGACATTTGGTGTAGTTCTGTCTGACTGACTTACAGCAGACGAGTCGTGTGAGAGGTTATGTTGTGATGGTGTAGTGCATACAAGAAACGGTGCGAACTCTTTGAGTGATGTGTGTCCTCTGGTGACCAGTGCCACAACACTTCGAGCATCACTCCGGCCAGTGCTTGTCGACTTGACATTTGGGATATTTCTCCCGACTTTGAAACTTTTTGACAGTTGTGTCACAGCAAGTCGACATTGCTGGTGAATCTTCAGACACCCTTGGCCCTCCCTTGGGTCTGAAAGTGGATGGATTGGCGCCGTCGATTTCGAAAAGAAATCGCTTCGGCTGAAATACTGTACTTGCCCCGTCGAGTGACGTTGTCTTCTGAAACAGGCCTCGGCGGCCCGTGATGCACTGGGCCCGCCGCGTTGCCGCGTTCAATGCTATTACGGCGGGCGCAGCGGGCGTCACGGTGCATCTTGAGACGCGTCTGCCGGTTGCTAAGCAACGCAGAGCAGCGCGACGAGGCAGACGAGACGAGGCGCACTGGACTTTGGTGCTGGCGGCCTACCTCGCCAGGGGCACGGCAGCGCTGGGCAGCACACGCCCGCGGCCAGCACGGCCAGCACTTGGAGCGCTGCGCCGTGTTGCACCCGGGTCGGACAAAACACCCCAATTTTTCATCGGGGCGCTTTTTGTTGAATCTAGACTGAAAATTGTGCACGTCGAAAACTTTCCTCTTGTTTCAAAATTTGTTGTCATCGCCGTGATGTGTGCCTATGATTGCGGAGGGTGCGGCCCAAATTGTTTCTCACGCATTTATTTCTCCCCTGACGTGTCAGCCCTGCGTTTGACAGCCCGCGTAGAACCGCTGCACAGGTGGATGCGGGGGAGGATTTGGAGGCTGTGGGGGGGGGAGGGGGGGAGCAAGATGATGAGGACGGTCGTCACCTTTTTTCTGTTCCTCGTCTAAGCCGAGCCGGGGGGTTCTTGCTGTTGCTGGCCTCGCCTAGCTTGGCCTGCCTGGGGAACCTGGGGACGGCCCGGCCGGTGCCCGCCCGTCCGCCCCGCCGGGGAGCACGGGGAGCTTGCGGGCCGAGGGACTGGAGGGACCGGCCGGCCCCGGCCCAGCGCGGCCCAGCACGGCCCAGCCGCGCAGGTAGGCAAGCCGGGACTCAGGTATGCAGGCGTGGTGGTGGAGCCCAGCCTGCGGAGCGCAGCGCAGGCAGCGCAGCGACCCGCGCTGCACCCTGACAATGCGCTGGCTGCGGGCTGGTTCCGAACCGTGCCTCGCCGCTCTCTCTCGCACCCTCTGCCCGTGAGAGCGAGAGAGCGCGAGCGACCAAGGCACTGTTCGGAATGAGTGCGCTGGCTGCGTCCCCTGTTCCTCGAAACGCTGTGGCCGCGCTGCCGCCACCCACGGGGTGCGTTCCACCCCTACGCACCCCTACGCCCCTCGAGGCCAGGGCGGCAGGGCGGCCTGGGCACACCGAGGGGGCCGACTCGGCGTGATCGCAAAGCAGCCTCGCTGTGGTGAAGGGGGCTCAATTATGACGACATGGCCGGGGATGCAGTACTTCATCCCCTCACTCTCGTCTCGAAAGGCTAGGTTTCGACTGGAGTTGTCTGTCCCAACATCGTGATTGTGGCTACCCCTTAGCGAGCCCAGCGGCCTGGCTGGCCGGGCGGGTACCGTGCCGCGGAGGCTGCGGAGGCTGGGGGTAGTTCCACCCGGGGTCCACCCCTCCCCTCGGGTGCCTTCCCTCCGACGAAGATGGCGAAAAGTCCGCGCCGCGCGCCGCGCCGTCCTCTGGGCGCACTATCACTGCTATCAGCCCAGACCGTTCCCGCCGCACGCCCCGCACACGGCCCCGGCCCGCCGTCCGCGCCGTCCCCGCCGTGTCGTCACTGTCAGTCGCCTCGACTCGGCGCGGTTATCGCCGCCGGGGCCTCGCCGTCCTCCTGCCCGCCAGCCTACGCCGAATGGCACTCGCCCTGGTCGTGGGGCTGCGGCGCTGCGCCCGGCCGGTAGGCCACCCTTCTTGTTCTTCCCTCGGCACGTGGTGCTAGACCGTACTTGGCGGCACGACGGCGTGCTCCGCGCCACGTGGGTGCTCTGACGCCCCGGCGCCGTGCTGCGCCGTGCTCGCAGCCTCGCACGCACGCGGCCGAAACGAAAACATGAATGCGGGTCAAACGGGTGGACAATGGGGCGCTCTCGGGCGCACCGACGGCACCGACGCCGCGCACAAGTTGAAGGCGGCGCCGTCCCTCGTGCCAGTAAATTTGGGCGCGCTGGTCTGTCAGTGTACAGGGCGTCGGTTTGGGCCGCAGGGGCCGCACGAGCAGGAGGAGGGTGTTGTTGGTGACGTGCTGGGGCGTCCGGTTGGTGGAGGGACGCCGCCGTGCCTTCCCTGCCAGCCGCTATAGTTAGACGCTGGCTTGCTGGCGCCCAGTCTGTCGCCGCGCCCCGCCACTCCCCGGCCGAGTGACGGGCTGACGGCGTGGCCCTGCCGCCTGTCTCTGCCCGCTCTGCGCGCGGCTCGCGGCTGGCTCGTGCAGATACTCCGTACTCGGCTCACGAGCGTCGCAAAGCGCGGAGTATCGACGATTTCCTGACGCGCGCCGGGCGCTCTGTCCACGCTGACGGGGTGACGGGCTGGCTGGGCTGGCCCGAGCGCGGAGCCTCCACCCTGGCCGTGTGGTGTCGCTGAGGGGGCAGTCTATCGAACTGCCCAGTGACTATTGGCAGAGGCTCGCACCTCGGTGTAAATTTACGAAACCGTATCTGCGCAACGAAAAGAGGCTGTGGGAGCCGTAGAGGCACACGCGCGCTCAGGGCCGAGCCAGCCGGCCAGACCAGTCGAGTGGCGCAGGCAGCTTGAGCAGGCAGCGGCCGCGAGGCACGGCGCAAGGCGAGACCGGGCGAGACGCAAGCGCGAGGCGAGGTTGGCCGCGTAGCCGCGTAGCCGCGCCGAGTCTTGGTCGGCGTGGCTGGCTGGTGTAGCGCAGGCAGGCCAGCCAACCACGGCGGGGGCCCCGAGCCCCGAAGCCCCGACGACTGGCCGCGCCGAGGTGCGTGGGGCTCCCTGGAAAACTCGCAACGGGTCGCACTATGTGGGATGATGCACAAGGCCGAGCGGCCGGCCAGTGCGCGACAGTATCAGGGCACTGGGAGTGCGCAGTGCGCCGCAATCTCGCTGAAGATGCGCTGCTGTTGAGCTTCATGGAATGGCGGTGGCGTTCGCCGCGCTGGACGTGGACGTCCAGAGCGACGAGTTGAGGGGAAACGTTGGAGGAGCACGGCGTTTGCACTTGCCCGCGGTGCAGGGCAGCGCCACGGGCCTGCCTACCCGCCGGGCGTTGGCCGCGCCGCCTGGCTGCCCTAAGGCTGCCCGATCCGGTACGGGGCCCCTGGCTGCCCCTGGCTTCTTGGCGCGACCGGAGAGTGCCCCGCGGTAGGCGTGGCCCGGCGTGGCGCGGCTGGCGGAGTCTGTGCTGCCCGAGGACGCCGCGGTGCCGTGGTGGTGCCGCGGTCCGCGCGCCCAGAACGGCGAAAAAAAAGCTCCCCGTCGTTCCCTCTCACCAGCTGGCGTCGATGCTCGGGGGTTGGGGTTGGAGATTGGAAATCGGACCGGCAAATTGAGCGAAACGTTGAGGAATGTGCACCGAGGCGTTGCTGCATGTGTGCCGATATCGGCCGTGTCCCCCTTGAACCCGACCGCGTACTACAGCGTACTCGTGACACGTTATGCCCTAACGCTGGCTTGTCGTTTTTGCAGGTAAAGACGGGACCTGGAATCGGCGAATGATGCGACCTGTCGATCCAGCGCGGCTCGCTGCATCTTGAACTGGGTATGTCTCGGTTCTCGATCCCTTTTCGGTTAAGTTTGCCATTACACCTTTGCCTTACTGTGTGTGAAACTACCTCCACTTGGTTTGACATTGCTCGTGCTGAACGCCTTGTCTTGTTATTTGTGTTTGGTCCGGCGCTCCCCCGTCACGGGCCAGTTGGCCAGTTGGCCGCCCTGTGGCGCCACTGCTTTTAAGTTGGCGGTACTGCGGCGCCACGGCTTTTTAGTTGGCAGCCCCGAAGACTCGGTCGCGGCGCCGTGGCGCGGTGATTCAAAGTGCTGCGCGGAGCTGGCAGGGAGAGGGGGCTCTCCGCTCCTCTCCGCCCAGTGCTGCTGGGCCGGGCGGGGTTGGGCGCTGCAGCGCGGCACGGCGCTGGGTTCGCCATCTAGCGGCGGAACCCCGAGGCTCCACCTCCGCGCTCCGCTACGCCAAGTTGCTGGTGCGCTGCGGCCGGGCCTTCGGGCCTTCGGGCCTTCGGGCCTTCGGGCCCTGCCGCTCCCCTTCCTCTGAGGCCCCTTTCCGCCACCCTCCCACCGACTGCCACTCCCACCCCCGGCGCGGCGGCAGCGGTGGTGGCCGCGTGCGAGAGGCAATGGAACTGGGGGTGGGAGGGAGGGGTAAAATAATGGTATTAGATTTACAGAGGGTGGGTGGGAGGGAGGGAGCGAGAGGGACCAAGGGTGAGGGAGTATTTCCGAGGGACAGAAAGGGGAGAGAATGTTGGGGATGAAAAAGTTTGGTGCCGGCGGGGAAAAAAAGGACCGCGAGTGGGCGGGGGAGGGAAGGGAAGGGAAGGGGGTGGTGGAAATTTCGGCTATTCCCGCCCTACCTCGTTTCGTGAAAGTAACAATGTCGTTCTCTGTGCATCGCAATTGTATATCTGCTCATTTTTGTGGATCTCTGATTTAATCAAATTTTCTGCACTGTCTCTGGTCGTGAGT